TTCAGAGTCAGAATGGTGCTGGAAGGGACCTTGGAGGTCTTCTAGTCCAGCCCCCTGCTCAGGCAGGAGACCCTATACCATTTGAATCAATCATTCAATCAATCAATCAATCATTCAATCAATCAATCAATCAATCAGAATAAAGCTGGAAGGGATCTTGGAGGTCTTCTAGTCCAGCCCTCTGCTCAAGCAGGAGACCCTATACCATTTGAATCAATCATTCAATCAATCAATCAATCATTCAATCAATCAATCAATCAATCAGAATAAAGCTGGAAGGGATCTTGGAGGTCTTCTAGTCCAGCCCTCTGCTCAAGCAGGAGACCCTATACCATTTGAATCAATCAATCAATTAATCAATTAATCAATCAATCAATCAATCAATCAATCATAGAGCTGGAAGGGGCCTTGGATGTCTTCTAATCCAGCTCCATGCTCAAGCAGGAGACCCTATACCATTTCAGACAAATGGACATCCAATCTCTTTTTAAAAACTTCCAGTGTTGGAGCATTGACAACTTCTGGAGGCAGGTTGTTCCACTGATTAATTGTTCTCACTGTCAGGATATTTCTCCTTAGTTCCAGGTTGCTTCTTTCCTTGATTGGTTTCCATCCGTTGTTTCTTGTCCTGCCTTCAGGTGCTTTGGAGAATAGCTTGACTCCCTCTTCTTTGTGGAGCCCCTCAAATATTGGAAGACTGCTATCATGTCACCCTTAGTCCTTCTCTTTGTTAGACTAACAGAATAACAGAGCTGGAAGAGACCTTGGAGGTCTTCTAGTCCAACCCCCTGCTCAAGCAGGAGACCCTATACCATTTTCAGACAAAGAATTGTCCAGTCTCTTCTTAAAAACCTCCAGTGTTAGAACAGTCACAACTTCTGAAGGCAATTTGTCGGCGCCCAACATCATGTACGTGAGATGAAATGTATTAAATACTCAATCTATTAAAGAAATATATTACCGAAAGGTGAGGTATACCTACTATTAGGGTGACCCAGCTGTTCCCCACCCAAGAATTTTTTCATAACCAGATGTGAATGCTTTACTGACTTCTGCCGAAAAAAAACGTGCTATGCTCCACAAATGGTGGGGATGATAGAGAGATGCACAGCGAGGCAGGTGACCCCCCTCCATTCGCCAAACTTCTAAATTTCAGATCTTACACCCTTTGTAGCTGGTGCTCTGTCCGTTTATAATTCTTCATAGCAATTGCATAGATTTTCATCGATTAATTGCACCCAGTCTGAAGTCCCGCTACTCAATGTAAACAAAAGTTTTGGAAATTGGCGGTTATAGTGCCTTCTCCGTCCAAACTGCAAGGCAGAAGAATTCTGAATGTAGTTTTGGTCACCACGATGTAAAAAAGATGCTGAGACTCTAGAAAGAGTGCAGAGAAGAGCAACAAATATGATCAGGGGACTGGAGGCTAAAGCATATAAGGAACGGTTGCTGGAATTGGGGATGTCTAGTTTAACGAAGAGAAGGACGAGGGGGGACATGAGAGCAGTGTTCCAGTATCTCAGGGGCTGCCCCAAAGAAGAGGGAGTCAAGCTATTCTCCAAAGCCCCTGAAGGCAGGACAAGAAGCAAAGGGTGGAAACTAATCAAGGAGAGATGCAACCTGGAACTAAGGAGAAATTCTCTGACAGTTAGAACAATTAACCAGTGGAACAACCTGCCTCCAGAAGCGGTGAATGCTCCAACACTGGAAGTTTTTAAGAAGAGACTGGACAGCCATCTGTCCGAAATGGTGAAGGGTTTCCTGCCTGAGCAGGGGGTTGGACTAGATGACCTCCAAGGTCCCTTCCAACTGTATTATTATTATTATTATTATTATTATTATTATTATTATTATTATTATTATTATTATTATTATTATTATTATTATTATTATTATTATTATTACAAAGGTGGCTGCTGTTTTCCTGGCGTATTATGGGGTATTGCTGCCCATTAATAAAAGAGAGATGCGAATCTTATGAATTTATCAGTGAGACAGCTGGGGGGAGGGGAAGGAAGATGAGTGCTACAGGGGAGGAAAGATTCAGATCTTTCTTGAACTCTTTGCTGGCCTCTAGTGGTGATCAGGACAATGGCAGCCCAAATATAGCAGCCTCCACAAGACAGCTTAGAGTTGACAGGACCGAGCTCTATAAATAATGTAGCCTTGGTAGAGCAGGTGGTAGACAGTCCTCTGACAATCACAGTCAAGAACGTTCAGACTGTGAGGACGTTCAGAAAATAGAAGTTGGGTGGAGAGAGTGTAAATAAAATGTTCAGAAGCTCCACCGAAATAGAATTGCAAGGGTCAATTCTAAATCAGGAAGCAGACGTTAGGACTGGGTTCACTTTTCAGCAAATATTGCTCTTCAAGGATGTCCTCATGCTGATCGCCACTTCTAGACTTATCTCAGGGACTTCCTTGCCCCAGTTTTTTTCTGTCCAGTCTAGCTCAGCTTAAGGTCCTAGCTCAGGGGTCTTCAAACTTGGCCCTTTTGTGACTCGTGGACTTCAACTCCCAGAATTCCTCAGCCAGCGTACCTGGCTGAGGAATTCTGGGAGTTGAAGTCCACCAGTCATAAAAGGGCCAAGTTTGAAGATCCCTGTCTTAAATCTAACAAACAAAATGGAGGCTGGCTGAGGAATTCTGGGAGTTGAAGTCCACCAGTCATAAAAGGGCCAAGTTTGAAGACCCCTGTCTTAAATCTAACAAACAAAATGGAGGCTGGCTGAGGAATTCTGGGAGTTGACATCCACAAAGTCATAAAAGGGCCACGTTTGAAGACCCCTGTCCTAACTGTTCTGAAATCAGAGGGGTTGGAGAACCGGATCTTCTCTACTTTGAAATAGGCTGTCCTCTTACAATACTTCCTGGTTCCTTCCTTCCTTTGCAGATGAGATCCACTTAATGACCGCCTTGATTAGGCCTGCAAATGGTGGTCCCCATGGTGGCCGTAAGCCAAGGACTATCTGTGAACGTATACAGATGAGGCCAGCGGTACCTTCAGAGAATGGAGATGTCTTTTGGGAAAACAATTCAACTGATCTTCTCTTGTTCATTCCCCAAAACCAACTCTTCATTCATGCTTCCAGGAGGCCAGAAAGGTCCTGAAGTTATCTATTTCCCAACCACCTCTCTTTCCTTGCTGGCTCCTGAGATCTAAGCTGATCCTCCGTTCTCAGGATCACGAATTGGCTGTCGCTGGCAAGCCTGGCTCCATCAAAACCTCTAAACAACTCCAGCAGCCACCAGCTTCAGAAACCTCCAATTAGGTGAGATGTCAAGAGACGATGGCCGACTGAAAATACTGCCAAAAAGGCCATTAGAGAGGCGCTCCACCCCTCAATTCCCTGAACGGTCCAAGCTGGAAATATTCATCTAATGAAAATGAGAATCACCATTTCTTCCATCTCTGCTTGCTTGCGATGCTCCTAAGCTTTTCTCCACACAATACTGAGATGACACTGGCTTTGCAGGCACAGACTGTGTCTCCAGAAGAGAACCAAGCCACCAGGCTCTTGGCCCTTGACAGACTTTGAGTTGGGTGCTTCTTCTCAAACTAGAGAAAAAGAACAATAATTGCCCCAGGCAAGTCACAAAAAAAATGCTTCTGGGACCATATGGAGGAAGGAAGAGCAAGACTCTCTGGATAGGAGTGAAGAGGCTCTCTTACTATTTATCGATCAACTCAGCAGAAAAGATAAGAAGCTCTCAAGATGTTCTTCAGTCAATACTGTTGAAAGCTCCAGAGACAAATGGCAAAGTGGGGAGCAGGCACTTCAACCCAGAGTAAATAGCAATAAGAGACACTTGATGGGGTCCTTCAGCCACTTGAGGCTCGACGCTTGCATTTCCTTGAGAAGATGGATACTCAAAGGACACCCAAGACATACGAGATCTTCTTCATGAAGTCATGGCATAGGCTAAGCCTCACAAGGGAGCCATCTCACGTCACGGTCCCAAGGAAGGAGGAACACAAGGTCCAATTTTGAGATGGACCTTCAGTTCTCCATCCCCTTGGGATTATCAAGTGAAATGCCTTCCTGTTTACATCTAGGTGTTCCTTGAACCCTTACTGGGGTACCTTTGGACACAAATAGGATGACATGAAGGAATGAGGCACTTTGGTGAAGAAGATCAAGAAGTCACCAAAAGATTAGCTGATGGGCACAAGAGTTCGGTGCCGCGGCGGCCTCCCACTCGCCCACCTTCATTGCTGGGGCTTGTGGGCTCGCCAGCGGCAGGCAGCGTGTCCGTGGACGTTGGGGCCGGTGCCTGCAATCCGGCGCCTCGGCGGCTCATCGAAGAGAGGCCCCACGACAGGAGCACGTCCGTGCACATTGGGACGACGCCTGGGGTCCAGCACCTCGGCGGCTCAACAAGAGGAGTCCCCATGGCAGTGTGGGGAGGCCCCCCCCGCAGGCCATGGCATGGGACACGGAGCAGCGTGGTGCTGCGGGAGGCAGCAGAACAGCGGGAAGGGTTACCCGCTTGCTGGAAAGCTGGACTCTGTGCACCAACTGGAACGTGGAAAGGAGGCAACATCCCGGTTGGCTGCTTTTGGACTCTGCAGGCCGGATGGTGGCTTGTGGGCTGGGGGGGTGGGGCTTGCGTGCAAAGAGGCTATGTAAAGCACTGGGAGCAGTTCACTCCCAGCGCTAACTTTTTCCTGCATGGATTAAACAACCATTTGTCACACGTACATGCTTGCTGGCTCTTTCCTGGGCACTGAGGAGGACATCTTGACAAACACTCAAATAAGCCAATACCGAGAAAAGATAAGGACACCTTCCTATTTTCTGGGCAGAGAGAAACTAAAATCCACCAAGTATGACTTTTAAGAGGGAGGTCAACGTTATTAACATTTCCACCTGGATTTGCCTTCCCCCACAAACTATAATGAGATAGCAAGGGCTAAGCTTAAATATCCCTACATTGATAAGAGGGGCAGGAGTTTATATGGATTGATTTTAAAAAAACTCATTCGTGCAAACACTTACCTTGATGACATCTTCATCTGAGGATCTGCACTCCACGGACTCTACAAGATCAGCCACTGTTCCATCTTCTTCCACCGAGACCACCTTAACAGGGACAGCCACCGTCTTCCCAGTGAGGATGGCCGTGTTTAAGATCTCTGCTTCCTGAAAAACAAAACGTTATCAGTTGAAGGTTGATCTTCAAGCTTTCTATATGGAACAGAAGTGGGCAACCTGTAGCTCCCCTATCTTCATGAGGACTTGGGGGTCTCCCTTTGGTTGTCTTCAAAGTCCCCTCTTATCATAAAAACTGACAGCAGGGGTCTCCATGACTGGGGTTGGAAGGCAGCTTGAAATGTATAGTGTAAAAACAGATATCACTCTTAAAAAACACATAGACACAAATAAAACTTCCCAAACTAGGACTCCATATCATCTACTTTGTAACTTCCAAGGGCTATAAACCAGGAGTCACAATGACTAGAGTTATACACACACTAATCCTGTAAGATAGTCAGGAAGATGGTGGTTTGTGGCTTTTATCTGGGCTGTTGATTATGTATTTATTACTATGTTGTGTCTTTAACTGTTGTTAGTTATCCAGGGTCATGTTGATAGAATAGAATGGAAGGGACCTTGGAGGTCTTCTAGTCCAGCCCCCTGCTCAAGCAGGAGAACCTATACCATTTCAGACAAGTGACTGTCTAGTCTCTTGTTAAAAACTTCCACAGCTTGGTGGCAAGCTGTTCCACTGGTTAATTGTCCTCACTGTCAGGAACTTTCTCCTTAATTCCAGGTTGCTTCTCTCTTTGATTAATTTCCAACCATTGTTTCTTGTCCTGTCCTCTGGTGCTTTGGAGAATAATTTGACCCCCTCTTCTTTGTGACAGCCCCTCAAATACTGGAATACTGCTATCCTGTCCCCCCTATTTCTTCTTTTCTTTAGACTAGCCAAACCCAAGTCCTGCAGCCGTTCTCCGTATCTTTTAGTCTCCAGGCCTTTGATCATCTTAGTTGCTCTTCTCTGCACTTTTTTTTTTCCAAAGTCTCAACATCTTTTTTGTACTATGGTGACCAAAATTGCTTCCAAGTGTGGTCTCACTAGGGTTTTATAAAGCGGTATGATGAGATGGGCAATCACAGAAATAGGAACAAAGCTGTTATAAAGTAAACCATGTTATACTATGTGTGCACACCGTTGTTGCTTTAATCTTAATCTATTTGTGCCATATTTCTTTCCCCTTTCAGTTGCTTTAAAAACTGATGAACTCAAAAACTTGCTTAACTTTTTGCCACGTGTTTCACATTTCTGGTAAAGATGGCTGAGGATTTGTTCTGATTTGATTTTCACAGACAAATGGTAGGAACTATGCAATTAATATTGATTTGTGCACCAATATGATGAATCTTCAGGGACAGTCAAATCTACGGTGCAATGGAAACGTACTGAGTAGAAAAATAAGCTTACCAAAGAAAACACAATGGATGGGAACAAGGAAATAGCAGCATAAAGGGAGGATGTAAGATAGACACTTAGGCTAAAATTAACCCGGTTTTCAGAGTGGGAAATGGAAGAATGCAAGCTGCAAAACCGCTGCAAGAGGAAATACTCAGCTTAACAGGAAAACTAGCTGAATTGAATAACAGGAAAGCCAAACTAAACTGGAAAACAGGAAAGTATCTATTGTTGTAAGAAGTCATAAAATATCCCAGAACTCGAAAACAAGGTAACGGTGCATGCTCAAAATCCTATTGAATATTATTTGACACACCTTGCATACATTATCTGCTAATTATAATGCCCATGTGACGTATGATTTAGTATGTAGCAGGAAATATGTAGAAGGAGGTCGGAAAGAGTGTAACCTTATAGTACCTCAGCCAATGGGGAATGAGGAGGGATGTGGCAGCCGGTGTAGGGAATGTATAAAGAAGGGAATTGTTTGAATTGGAAACAAAAGACCTTTACTGTGTCTTGGCTGGTTATTGATCAGGCGAGCTTGCCTCTGGTTACGAAGGAAAGTAGCCAGGAGCACATAACAATATGAAAATTTGAATTATAGAGGCTGTGTAGATTAGTTCAGCCTATAAACCCCTCCAAAGTACCCAAACACTGTTTATATATATATATAAGTGCTTTGTATCAAACACTGTAATGTCATCCTTTCACCCTGCTGGAAAACAAAGAAATAATTTGAGTCCGTCATCTTAACTTTTGGGTGTTTTTTTTTAGCTTGACTTAAAGAGAGGGATGAAGAGGAGGAAGAGAAGAAGGAGAAAGCAAACTCAATTCCTTGAATATTTTTCTCCATACTTATTCAGAACCGCCAGGCCTTCGAAGACAGCAAAAAAATAAAATAAAAATAAAGCTAAGACGCCACACGTAGATCTTGATTTTATTCGATTTTGGTGAATGGAGGTTTCAGTCCCTGGAAATCCTCCTGCCTTAATTTCTCATCTAAATCGCTTCCACTTCATGGGTTTTTAAGTTTGACCTGATTTTACTTGTAGAAGAGAACATTACATAAAGGGTTGGGAAGGATGTAGCTGACGTTTCCTATCTTGTATTAGTATATATCAGTTTTTCTAATCTAACAAGACACAGAGAAAAAAAGGTGGGCTCTCTAAGATACTTTAAAGGAACAGAGATCCTTTATACTACTTCAAAAGCAAGCTGTTGGCTTTCAGAGAGGTACAAAACAAATCCTCTTTTCTTTTTAGCCTCCTCTGGGATTTCCTTTTTTGCAGAAATGTGACAGGCTTTACCTCTAAGTAAACATGCAGAGATTTGCTGAATTAAATAGCAATAGCACTTAGACTTATATACCGCTTCACAGTGCTTTACAGTCTTCTCTAAGCAGTTTACAGAGTCAGCCTATTGTCCCCAACAATCTGGGTCCTCATTTTACCAACCTCAGAAGGATGGAAGGCTGAGTCAACCTTGAGCCAGTGAGAATCGAACTGCTGGCAGTGGGCAGAGGGAAGGAAGGAAGGAAGGAAGGAAGGAAGGAAGAACAATAGCAATAGCCCTTAGACTTATATACTGCTTCACAATGCTTTACAGCCCTCTCTAAGCAGTTTACAGAGTCAGCCTATTGTCCCCAACAATCTGGGTCCTCATTTTACCAACCTCAGAAGGATGGAAGGCTGAGTCAACCTTGAGCCGGTGAGAATCGAACTGCAGGCAGTGGGCAGAGTAAGGAGAAAAGGCAGAGCAATAGCACTTAGACTTATATACCGCTTTACAGTGCTTTACAGCTCTCTTTAAGTGGTTTACAGAGTCAGCATCTTGCCCCCAACAATCTGGGTCCTCATTTTACTGACCTCAGAAGGATGGAAGGCTGAGTCAACCTTGAACCGGTCAGGATCAAACTGCCAACAGCCGGCAGTCAGCAGAATTAACCTGCAGTATGGCATTCTAACCACTGCGCCACCATGGCTAAATAGCAAGAGAGTCCTCAAAATAAACTGGATGTAAATGAATGCGTTAAAAAGTCCAAAACTGAACAAACAAGCTCAACGTGTATAGACACGGGAAGGACAAATATGGACATTTCAAGAAATTGTTTTTACAATGTTATTGTTAGGATTGGAGTACCAATGTAAGTGGTCTGTTTGGTCGTAAAATGGGGCAAAATTCCCTTAACAAACGTGTCACTTAACTTGTGGTCGTTAAATCCACAATGTCTAGTCTAATGAAGAGAAGGACGGGGGGGGGGGGACATGATAGCGGTCTTCCAATATCTCAGGGGTTGCCCCAAAGAAGAGGGAGTCAAGCTATTCTCCAAAGGGCCGGAAGGCAGGACAAGAAGCAATGGGTGGAAACTAAGCAAGGAGAGAAGCAACCTAGAACTAAGGAGAAATTTCCTGATCATGAGAACGATTAACCAGTGGAACAACCTGCCTCCAGAAGCAGTGAATGTTCCAACACTGGAAGTTTTTAAGAAGAGACTGGACAGCCTTTTGTCTGAAATGGTATAGGGTTTCCTGCCTGAGCAGGGGGTTGGACTAGATGACTTCTAAGGTCCCTTCCAACATCATCATCATCATCATCATCATCATCACCATCATTATTATTGTTACTATTATTATTATTATGGTGTTTGCTAACGCTTGCATAAGACATAAATCTCTCTTTAATTAGCCCCTGCATTTGAAATTCACCCCTCTCAGCTCCCTGCCCAGATTAAACATAAAGAGGGATTGTGGGGGGGGACAAAAAAGCTCTCCCATCTGGTTTTTCTAAGGTTGAGAGGATTCCAGGATATCCCCTGAGGGAGAATACCTTAAGAAATTATTTCATTTGCAAGACACAATGCAGAATACTTAAGAGAGCTTCCGCGGAGATTTATAGGTCACTTCCCAGCATGTAAATCAATTCAAAAAAAATATGGGACGTTGCTAATTTCACGAAGAGAAAGAAAGAAAGAAAGAAAGAAAGAAAGAAAGAAAGAAAGAAAGAAAGAAAGAAAGAAAGAAAGAAAGAAAGAAGGAAGGAAGGAAGGAAGGAAGGGAAAGACGGGGGAAGATTCTTAAACTGTACCAAACCTTTTGAAACAGGGCTACGTTTTCTAAGCCATAACTAATACAGGATTATTGAAATGATTCAGCTGGTAGAATGAATAGCCTTAAGTGTGATTATCCGGTAAGTGGCAAATTCTGCAAACAGTTGTATTTTTAAAATAAAATAAAATAAAATAAAATTGAAAGGACCCAGAGAGTCAGACAGGGAAATCAATTTTGGCATACAAAATATACACCCATCGGGCTGAAGGATTATGCAAAAAACAGAAAGCAGAATAATAGAATAGGAAGGGATCCTGGAGATCTTCTACTCCAATCCCTTGCTCAAGCAGGAGACCCTAGACCATTTATAGTTACCGTTTATAGATTATAGTCAGCATCATCTGGAATTATAAATAAAAAGTGAGTTATGAAATAATAGAAAATACTTGTGGATCGGCTTTTACATTTTGGCAGTGGTTTGCTCTCCAGGCTTGTTTCAATATAGTTTCTGAACGTTTTGTTACCAAACTAGGTAACATTTGCTGATAATAATAATAATAATAAAATTGGAAGGGATCTTGGAGGTCATCGAGTCCCACCCCCTGCTCGGGCAGGAAACCCTATACCATTTCAGACAAAAATCTCTTCTTAAAACCTTC